ATTCTCTCTAAAAGCCTCCATAGGGCACACCTGCCCTTAACCTGTCCATTCGTATATGTGCTCCTACTATGGGGGCTCAGGAAATTTTAGAATTAGGCCCACAGTATACAGAGGACCCTAGATGCGGGACTGTTTCACAATTGCTATTCCAAGCAGCGCACTTGACCAATATTAATTTGTAGGTCTCGCCATAAGGTGAGCAAGAAATACACCGATAGGGGGTTGAACACGAGGATATGGATGTGTACACAGGAGATTAAGATGTTTATTGAAGGACTTGACAATTGTACTGGGATTCACTGTTGATTTAAGAGACTTGTCAGAGGACTTTGTTGATTTACTTAAATGGATAGTGCACCACATTTATTATAATTTTTTATATGTTTGTTGTGTGAGAGTACACATTAGTAGTGGTTGCAGCATTCTCTACCCCTGTCCTGTTTATTTATACGAATTTGAATCTAGCAGCACACGTGTATTACTATCTATCATCCATAATTTTATTTCTGTCATGGTTTTAAGTGTAAAGCTGCCTAACGCTACTGGCCTGAAACACCCAGATGCTTGATGCTTTATATAGTTTTTTCTTATTTTTTCCTAAAACACCCCAAACGCTTTTCAGTTAAAACAAATGTGCCTCCTTTCAAAAATACTGGCTTGGGGAACCAGGTATACAGGTTGGTATCTTCATAGCAAGGGAACCTTATTAAGACAACCATGTCACAGCACTATCCTTATTAACTAGTCAGTCTCTGCACTAGTTATAGTTACCATATTCATACATGATCAAAGGCTGAGGGTTGTATAAAAGAGATCAGTTCTAAAAAGGGTTTAACAAGGACAGTTCCTAATCTCTTTGACATCCTCTCAGGTACCACCAGCTGAACCAAAATCAAGCACCTTAAGATATTGCTTTTTACGGGAAGGCATTATTGCCTTCACTGGCATGAGAGAAGGCATGGAGATTCATTCACTAAGAAGAGAGTGCAGTAGCCAGAATCTCTTTGTAGCTCTTCCAGTAGATTTTTTTTTTTAACCAAAGATACAGTGCCTTGAAAAAGTATACTCCTTGAAATTTTCCACATTTTGTCATGTTACAACCAAAAACATAAATGTATTTAATTGGGATTTTATGTGATAGGCCAACACAAAGTGGCACATAATTGTGAAGTGGAAGGAAAATGATAAATGGTTTTCCAAATTTTTTACAAATAAATATCTGAAAAGTGTGGTGTGCATTTATATTCAACCCCCTGAGTCAATACTTTGTAGAATCACCTTTCGCTGCAATTACAGCTGCAAGTCTTTTTTGGGGATGTCTCTACCAGCTTTGCACGTCTAGAGAGTGAAATGTGTGCCCATTCATTGCAAAATAGCTTAAGCTGTCAGATTGGATGGAGAGCATCTGTGAACAGCACTTTTCAAGTCTTGCCACAGATTCTCAATTGGATTTATGTCTGGACTTTGAATGGGCCATTCTAACACATGAAGATGCTTTGATCTAAACCATTCTATTGTAGCTCTGGCTGTATGTTTAGGGTTGTTGTCTTGCTGGTTGCTGAACCTTTTCTTCTAAGATTGCCCTGTATATGGCTCCATCAATATTCCTATCAACTCTGACCAACTTCCGAGTCCCCACTGAAGAAAATCATCCCCACAACATGATGCTGCCACCACCACGTTTCACAGTGGGGATGGTGTGTTCAAGGTGAGGTGCAGTGTTAGTTTTCTGCCACACATAATGTTTTGCTTTTAGGCCAAAAGGTTCAATTTTGGTCTCATCTGACCAGAGCTCCTTCTTCCACATGTTTGCTGTGGTCCCCACATGGCTTCTCACAAACTGCAAATGTGACTTCATTTGGCTTTTTTCAACAATGGCTTTCTTCTTGCCACTCTTCCATAAAGGCCAGATTTGTGGAATGCACGACTAATAGTTATCCTGTGGACACATTCTCCCAACTGAGCTGTGGATCTCTGTAGCTCCTCCAGAGTTACCATTATTATTATTATTATACAGGATTTATATAGCACCAACAGTATGCTCAGCACTTTCCAATATAACGGGAGACAATACAGTAACAATACAGTTCAATACAAGAGGGATTTGAGGGCCCTGCTCCTTGGAGCTTACAATCTAGAAGGGAGGGGCTAGTGGTACAAAAGGTAGTAACTGTGGGGGATGGACTGGTTGGAAAAGTAGAAGATTCCAGTATTAGCTGAGGGCAGGATAGGCTTCCCTGAAGAGATAGGTTTTCAGAGATTGGCTAAAAGTGAGCAGAGTAGGCGATATTCTGATAAACTGGGGTAGAGAGTTCCAGAAGATGGAGGAAGCTCTGGAGAAGTCCTGGAGACGAGCATGGGAGCTAGAGAGTAGGAGGTCTTGCGAGGAGCGGAGAGTACGGTTTGGGTGATATTTAGAGACAAGATCGGTGATGTAATTTGGGGCAGAGTTATAAATGGCTTTATACCAGGGGTGGCTAACCTGTGGCTCTCCAGCTGTTGTGGAACTACATTTCCCATGAGGCATTGCAAAGATGGGAAGTTACTGACTTGCAGAGGCATGATGGAACTTGTAGTCCTGCAGCAGCTGGAGAGCCGCAGGTTGGCCACCCCTGCTTTATACTTTATTGTTAGTGTTTTGAATTTTATCCGTTGGGCAACGGGAAGCCAGTGGAGGGATTGGCAGAGAGGGGTGGCAGATACAGAACGGTTAGTAAGGTGGATGAGTGTGGCAGCAGCATTCATGATAGACTGAAGAGGGGATAGCCTGCGATTCGGTAGGCCAATGAGGAGGGAGTTACAATAGTCAAGGCGAGAGATAACCAGGGAGTGGATAAGTTGCTTAGTGATTTCCGAGGTTAGGAACGGGCGTATCTTGGAGATTTTGCAGAGGTGAAGTCTACAAGATTTGGACAGTGATTGGATTTGGGCTGAAAGGACAGATGGGAGTCTAGGATTACACCTAGTACCCTGGCATGAGGGGAGGGAATGATGATTGTGTTATTGATCTTGATGGAGAAGTCAGGGGAGGGGGCACAGGCTGGAGGGAATACTAAAAGCTCAGTTTTGGAAAGATTGAGTTTGAGGAAGTGGAGTGACATCCATGCCGATATGTCACTTAGTAGGTTAGTAATGCGAGTGGAGACTGAAGGAGTGAGGTGAGGGGTAGAAAGATAGATTTGTGTGTCATCAGCATAGAAATGGTACTTAAAGCCATGGGAGTTTATCAAGTGACCAAGGGAGGAGGTATAGATGGAGAAGAGAAGGGGTCCAAGGACAGAACCTTGAGGGACCCCTACAGAAAGAGGGAGTAAAGAGGAGGAGGCAGCGTTATAGGTAACACTGAAGGAGCGCTGTGATAGGTAGGAGGGCCATGGGACTCTTGGCTGCTTCTCTGGTTAATGCTCTCCTTGCCTGGCCTGTTAGTTTAGGTGCACGTCCATGTCTTGGTAGGTTTGCAGTTACGCCATACTCTTTTCATTTTCGGATGATGCATTGAACAGTGCTCCGTGAGATGTACAAAGCTTGGGATATTTGCTTTGTTTGTAATCTAACCCTGCTTTAAAACGTCTCCCCAACTTTACCTCTGATCTGTCTTGTGTTCCTTTCTTCATGATGCTGTTTGTTTAAAGGGCTTCACAGGGTTTATATTTAACTGAGTAAAGAGGACAGGTGGAACTTTAAAAATGAGGTGACTTCTGAAGGCAATTGGTTTCACTAGATATTTAGTTAGGGGTATTAAAGAGGTAAAAATGCATTTTTGATATTTATTTGTAAAACATTTTGAAAAACCATTTATCATTTTCCTTCCACTTCACAAATATGTGCCACTTTGTGTTAGTCTATCACATAAAATCCCAATTAAACACATTTACTATTTCAGTTGCAATATGACAAAATTTGGAACATTTCAAGAAGTCCGTTTACTTTTTCAAGGCACTGTATATAATACTTATATGCCTTGTTTCGCTCTCAGTCTGTAAGTTGATAGTGAAGAAGCAGCTCACCGATGAGCTCATCCGCCTGTTACTCTGCATTTTTGCATGCTCCGTCAGAGCAGAGGAGTACTGTATAACACTAGGCTACCTCCTATGACCATTTCTCCTTATCCTAGCTGAGCTCTGCTGTACAGGTGAATGTAAGATGCTGAGGTCAAAAGCAAGCACTTACAATACTTACATTTTAAAAAAATACATAAACAGCTGCATTGTGTTTTAAGGGGTCATTCACCTTGCCTGCACTTTAAAGGCTCCTTCTTGCCACTCTTCCATAAAGGCCAGATTTGTGGAGTGCACAACTAATAGTTATCCTGTGGACAGATTCTCCCACCTGAGCTGTGGATCTCTGCAGCTCCTCCAGAGTTACCATGGGTCTCTTGGCTGCTTCTCTGATTAATGCTCTCCTTGCCCGGCCTGTCAATTTAGGTGGACGGCCATGTCTTGGTACATTTGCAGTTGTGCCATACTCTTTCCATTTTCGGATGATGGATTGAACAGTGCTCCGTGAGATTTTCAAAGCTTGGGATATTTTTTGTAACCTAACCCTGCTTTGAACTCCTCGACAACTTTATCTCCGACCTGTCTGGTGTGTTCCTTGGCCTTTATGATGCTGTTTGTTAACTAATGTTCTCTAACAAATCTCTGAGGGCTTCACAGAACAGCTGTATTTATACTGAGATTAAAGTGTTACTAAACCCACAACAGTAAAATCAGTCTATAAATGCAGTAAATCATGCTTGTTATACTCACTGTGGAACCTAAAGGGTTAAACCTCTGCATTGTGTAAAAAGGGTGTTTGATCCTGACTTCTCTGATCCTCCCCTTCTTCCAGTGCTCCCCTCTTATCTCCTGATAAAACATATTGTGTGGAGTTATTCTGTACATGCTCAATTTGGTGTGTATTGCTAGAGAGTTTTTTTTTTTCTTGGGAGAGTGCATGTGATCAGCACAGGGCCAATCAGCACTGTCCAGACAGAGGTAAGGGGCCCTGCATTCTTCTTACAGCAGAATAAAAACTCCTACACGCCGGGACATGTGCTCTGCTGGACACTGATAGAAGTCACAAGGCTGCTCTACCTGCTGATGAGAAAAGGTATTTAGCAGTTTCTGTTTACTAAAATAATTACATTTCCATGTTCTGTGTAATGTGGGAGGCCAGCTATAGTAAATGCAGGGTCCTGGGTTTAGTAACACTTTAAATTACACACAGGTGGACTCTATTTACTAATTAGGTGACTTCTGAAGGTAATTGGTTCCAGTATATTTTAATTAGGGGGTATCGGAGTAAAGGGGGCTGAATACAAATGCACGTCACGCTTTTCAGATATTTATTTATTAAAAAAAATGTGAAAACCATTTATCATTTTCCTTCCACTACATAATTATGTGCCACTTTGTGTTGGTCTATCACATACAATCCCAATAGAATACATTTACGTTTTTGGTTATAACAAATATTTTCAAGGGGTATGAATATTTTTCAAGACACCGTAACCTCTTTAAAGTAAACCTAGCGGAAACTTGTGAAATTCAGGCTGTGCATGTGATAAAAAAGTATATAAACAGAGGTTATCTTCAGTGAAAACTACATGGAAAAACAATAAGTACATCGAAAAATATTGTATAGGCAGCTGGTTATAAGCAAATCTTTGGTTTTGTCCAATAAAAGTTGAGCTTGTCCCTTGTCCTTGCCCCTTCTTCCTCCTGAGCCTACTGGTTGGTCATTGAAGCCAATTCTTGCACTGAAAGGTCCATTATGGATTATTTCCAAGGTGAAAGCAGCATGAACAATTAGAATTTTAAAAGAAAAGCAAGACCCATATAATTTTAAACTGAAAACATTGCTGGAGAAGGTATCCTCTACTTATTTTTTATCAAATACTTAATTGCCTAAATTGCCTGGGTATGTGGCAAATTTACTTTAAAATGACTTTTATTCAGTTTTTTTTTTGTTCAATAATTGAAAAATATGTGCTATACTTGCATATTTTGTTTTCATTAGTTGTACTTATAATTCATTACATGCCGATTAATAGAACTTTAGATATGCAATAATATAAAAAGCAGAGTATAAGGCTCCATTCACACTAGGATTTTCAAATCGCGGGCGAAATTGTGGTGATTCCACCCACGATTTGAAAAAAAAAATGGAGCCTAAGGCTCCGAAACCTTTTTTGGGCGTGATTTTGTTTGCGTGACTGTGGCATGTTTGTTGCATGGAAAAAAGCACCACGATTGCGGAAAAAAAGCCCTGCGTTTCGGGTACCATTGAAATGAATGGCCCCAGAAAATGTGATTATGCGTTTTCACACTTTTACAGTGTTTTTTTCATGTCGTGGGCAGAATCACAGCGATTTGAAAAAAACCTAGTGTGAATGGAGCCTAAAGCAGGCCATAGACGGGGAGAAAACCAGCCGTTTTTTTTTTTTTTTAAAACGAAAAATCGGTCGTTCAATCAGCCGACATTACCACTATTGGTAAAAATAAGGTCAGCTGATTTTCGTCCCGTCTACGGCCGGCAATTATATAGAATATATGTAGAAGAAGAAGAAATAGTATATGCAGAAGAAGAAGAAATATAATATGAAGAAGAAATAGAATACGAATAAAAAGAAGGAATAGAATATGCAGAAGAAGAAAAAGTTGCAACAGTGTATCTATTTGTATCCATTTCGGATACAGATAGATATATTTGGATATAAATAGGTACAATGTTGCTATACTTTTAAATGTCAAATATAATATCGGACTGAAATTCTTTTTTTTTTTCTTCTTCTTCTTCATTTCTATTTCTTCTTTTCATTCATATTCTATTTTTTTCCTTTTCTTCTTTTCCTTCTTCTTTCATGTCACTGCTCATGCGCATTTTTAAATATCGGAAAAAGATCGGCAAATTTGTCCATCATTGCCATGAAAATCGGCAGAACGACAAATTTGGCTGATTATTTTCCAGCAGGACCGATAATCTAAAAGGTCAAAAATCACGAGAAACGGCTGACTGATTACTGCACTAATGATCCGAAAATCGGCCGATTTTTTTTTTTCTTGGCCAATTTTCGGTCGTTTTTCATCTCATCTATGGCCCGCATAAGGCTTTCTGGTGAAGTGAATAATGGAAAATGTTTGCAGCTTAGACTGTCATACACTGACCATATCTGCTTCTATTATGTAACTTATGTAACTTGTGAGTGCATAACACAATCAGCAGCTTAAAGGCCCTAGGGACAGTAAGAAGCTAGTGTCCAAGTTTTCTTTACATATTGATGGAAACTCTGATGTCATCTGCAAAGGAAATGCTCATGACAAAGAATGATTTACAATGTACCCATTCCATGCAACAATTGGAGGCATTAGATCAGGTGGTTTTTGACAATTAGGTCAGTGGCAGACCATAGACCCATTAAAAGTAAACCTGTACTGGGAGAAATGCACAGCTTGTCATTGCTGAGCTCTCCATCTTTTAATTCTAGTTGTTAGGCTGTCATGTTAATTCTATGGCTTCAATATTGTATGTTATTAATGCGGTGCAAGTAGGCTGATCACTTCTGACTTCCGTCGCAACAAAACTATTCCACTGGCATTTTCAGAGATATATCTCATTGGGACCACAGGAATAAAGAAACTATAGTAAAGCTTTGTTTACTCAAGAATATTCTTTTTTTAAATTGAAATAGCTAATTGTGTTATAATTCATAAAGGACAGCTGCTGTCATTGAGAAGACTTTGCATTTCTTTTGTTGCCGAGGAAAGGGGGGGAGGGGGTGGCCAAAATGGAACATAATAAAAAGCTGATACCTGGAAATAAACTACTCCCATATTTTTGGATGGATTTTATTTGGTGTAAACATTTGTAGTGCTGTAGTGTACACCGTAACTCAATTGGTACAAATATTAGGGCTTTTGCACACAATTGTACAGGGGTCCTATAGAATACAGAGCCTGCACAATTACTCTTCAAGGACCTGCATTCATGGCACACAGCCATCTTTTGGGATGCATTTGAGCATGTAAATGCATGCAGTTGTGGAGTAGGGCTTGAAAAAACACAGACAAACAAATATCCACATGAGTGCAGGTGCTTTACTCAACCCGTGCACACAACCATATACAGCCATATTTTCTGATGCATCTCAATGGCCAGCTGTAGGTGGTGGCTATGAGTCCCAGGAAAGTAATTACACATGCTGTATGGCCCCTGTACAGCTGTGTGCATGAGCCCTAAGTCATAGATCTCTTCAAGTTTCATTACAATAATATTAACCACTTGCCCTCCTGAGGATTTACCCCCCTTCCTGACCAGGCCATTTTTTGCATTACGGTGCTGTGTTACTTTAACTGACAAGTGCACAGTCATGCAATGCTGCACCCATGTGAAATTTATGTCCTTTTTTCCCATGAATTGAGCTTTCTTTCGGTGGTATTTGCTCCCCTGTGTGTTTTTTATTTTTTGCGCTATAAAAAAAAAGTCTGACAATTTTGAGAAAAAAAAAAAACTGTATTTTTGACTTTTTGCTATTAAACATGTCCAGTAAAAAAATGTTAAAAATCAAATTTCGTCTTAAATTTAGGCCAAAATGTATTTTGTGACATGTCTTTGCTAAAAAAATATCCCAATACATGTAAATTAATTGGTTTACATGAAAGTTATAGTACAAATGGCAGTATATTTACTGTAATTTTTTTTTTTTTACTAGTAATGGCGGCAATCAGCGACTAATAGTGGGATGCAGTGGGCATTCTGATAGTGGGGGAAACTGACTTGGTGTCACTGGTGATGTCAGTGACAACAAGTCAGTTTTCCCCAGTGTCAGAATGCCCGCAGCAGTCCCGCAGTCCCAATACAGTGATCAGAGCTAAAAAAAAACACTGACGCTATACTGATGGCACTGGGCAGGAAGGGGTTAACATGAGGGGCGATCAAAGGGTTAACTGTGTGCTGGGAGTGTTTTACTATGGGGCCGTGTGTTTGTGCTTCACTGTAAGCACACTGTTTGTATGGCTGTGCTGTGCACAGCCATGCAAAACAGTGTGCACGAGTTGACAGGGAGGAGACAGGGACCCAGTTATTGATAGCCATGGCCATGGACCCTACTTGGAAATGCAAAATCATGTATATTTACGTGATTTTGCGCACCCGTGCTGCCCTTTAGCAGTATTTCTGCTATAGGGCGGACGGGAAGTGGTTAAAGTGATTCTAAAGGCTTATCAAACATGTATATACTTACCTACTGTGTGTAGTGGTTTTGCACAGAGCAGCCCGGTTCCTCCTCTTCTCGGGTCCCCTGCTGGCACTCCTGGCTCCTCCCTCCAGTCGGGTGCCCTCACAGCAAGAAGCTTGCTATGGGGGCACCTGCTGCTCTGTGTGTCCGTTCCCGCCCCTCTATCTTCTCATTGGCTCACTGGCTGCGATTGAGAGCTTAGATGAGTATTAGGGGGGGCTGGGGAGATGCTGCACAGAGGTTTTTTACCTTCATGTATAGAATGCATGAAGGTAAAAAACCTTGAGCCTTTAGAACCACTTTAACGCTGCTAGTATCAGTATGATTTTCATAGTAAACTATTTTCACTGATATAATTCTGATTCGCATTTAGGTGTCAGAGTGGAGATTTAGGGACACTTCTCACCAGGTGTAGTGAGATGCATTGTTGAACACATTCCCACTGCATATGCAGTCCAAAATGATATTTAACCACTTTAATATGGAGTACTCTTACCTCCTTCCTGCCCAGGCCAATTTTCATCTTTCAGCATTGTCACACTTTGAATGACAATTGCACAGTCATGCGACACTGTACCCAAATTAAATTTTTATAATTTTGTTCACAAAAATAAAGCTTTCTTTTGGTGGTATTTAATCACCACTGGGTTTTTTTATTTTTTGCTAAACAAATAAAAATTTTTTGAAAAAACACATTTTTCCTTGTTTCTGTTATAAAATTTTGCAAATAAATAATCTTTCTTCATGAATTTAGGCCAAAATGTATTCTTCCACATTTGTTTGCTAAAGATAATCCAAACCAGTGTATATTATTTAGTCTGTAGGAAAGTTATAGTGCATCACTTACTAGCACATTATGAAAGACTTACCTTAAAATGAAGCCCTCCAGCTGTGCGCTGTCACCACTGACAGGGCTTCCATCTTCATCCCGTCTTCCTTCTGGGTTCACAGGCCTGGCTGCTTGATTGGCCGAC